GAGTGAGCTCCTCCCTCTGTCTGGAAGGCACAGCCCTGCCACTCTTCAAAGGAGACTCGTTTCTGACACTTATATCTTATATCAGCCTCGTTCTTGTGTTCCACTCGTCCCTAACTCGGGAACAAGTTCCCCAACCTGAAGGGGAACAATTCAGGGGTTTCTTGGCTGGGCACATCTAGGAATAGCAACACGGTTCCCTCCTCCTGTGGGCTCACCATCCACAGGAGGCCGTAGGGGTTTGGTGCTTACTTGATTGTGTGGCAGGCAGAGGACCTGGCCCTCCAGCCCACAGCCTCCAAAACTGGCTTGTGGTTTGTTAATCACCATATAACTTGTTTTAAAATGATGTTAAAGCCAGAGATTCTCTGAGGTTAGTGGCTTCTTAGTGTGTCACTCCCCCCTCACACACACACACACCAAGGCCATCTTTGCCCGAACAGGCCACTCTGTACGAAGTCTCAGTGAGGTCCTTTTTATCAGAATCATGTCAGAGATGATATTTTCTTATTAGTTGTGATGGTCAAACTTATAACTGGTTATATTCTGATCAGTTTCTAAGCTGTTAATCATGATTAACTTTTACCACAATCACATTTATATTTTGATTCTGTGCTGAGCAAATACAACGTAACCATAACGACGGGCTGGAGACACGTTTCTTATCTTTCACATCCTGATCTGTCGAATCATCCTCAAACTGCGTCACTCATATCAGTAAGACTCTGATGAATATTTTTGGTCATTAGAGATGATTTACTGTATTAAAGAACATAAACTTTTGGTTTAGCACGATTATTTCAATCAAACACTGTTTCACCAAACAAAGTCACGTCCTCCATCCAGCGTGAGGTTGTCACATCGACCTCTGATGTGTTTTCAGACAGTGATCATACCTTAGAGACCTGTTTCTGTGGAAAGAGTGGGTATCTCATCATTTTGGGAGCGTTGCCACTGCGTCCAAGTGTAGATGTGTAGACCAGTTTTAACGCCCTCCGTCTTCTTACCAGGACATACGGTTGTGTTCGCCGACCAGTCGGGGATGAACGCCTCTGGACACGTCATGCTGGGAACCATGGATGTTCACCATCAGTGGACTAAAGTAATGCAGCTGTGGCTCTCCTGCTGCCATGTATAGTCTCTGTGCTGCCTTTTGTTTCCTGACCCCTGCTGTGTGCCTCCAGCTTTTCGAGCAGCTGCCCGGTTATCGCAGCCTGCAGCAACAGACACACTGGCTGAAGGAGAGGATCAGCCTCCTCCTGGGTGGAACCCAAGTGGTGCACATGGACAGACTGGGACCAGTTCAGCCCATAGCTGAGCACTACAGCTCCCTAAACACCTTCCACAAGCGTCTAATGTCCCACCACCTCCGTCTGCACCCCAGGAGTCTGCAGGGCCTCACCATGTTGCTGGAAAAGTACGAAACCCTTTTAACCACCGACCATCACGAGCACGTGCAGTTGACTTAATGTTTGCGTCTCTTCCAGTGACCGCTCCAGCCCCAGTCTTCACGAGATGGGACACTTCATTATTCCCATCAAATGTGATCTTCCTGCACTACAGGTCTTCCTTCAGAACCACGCCCCTGAAGCCCGACGGCGCATCCAGCGCAAAAACCAGTGAGTGTGATGTAGTCTGTCTGTTTGCAGCTGTTTTTCTTTGGGAGGGGTCTTTTTATATTTTATATCATATTTAGTATTTTTCCTCTCTTACAAGATGCTAGCATGTTTGCAAAAACAATTTCAAAAACGTTGTCAAGCAACAATCATAAATGATTTTGCTCCTGCCAGCAGTAACAAGGTTTACAGGTGGAACTCCACGAAGGCCGATTCATGGGGCAGCACGTACCCAGCAGTGAGGCTGTGATAGAAACCCCCCCACACGCCTACATCCATGACTGCTTTATACAATGAAAAAAAAAAAACACACCTACAACTGCCCAAGTTTAACTAGACTGTGTTGATTGAAATTACTAGTTTTTATTTTTAGTATATTCAGTCACTGTGTTTACTGTTAGAGTTTCAGATCTTGTTGCTTAATCAATCAGAATCAGAATACTTTATTAACCCTTTAAAACCGGTCAGAGCAGCACGCTCTGTTTTGCGTAACTATTTTTAAATCCCGGTAGCTCTGCAACCACGTGAGCTAGCACAATAATTTTTTTTGCATATGAAACCGGAGGAGTTGTACAAAAACTGCATAAAAAGCACTTGCAGCAACAAAAACATAATATTCAAGAAAGACACTTTGCCGATCCGATCAGCTGTTCATAACACTTCCTACTTGGAATAGACGCAAACTTTCGTATGTCCGCCATGACCTGCCCGAAACCGGAAGTGACGTCATTTTCACGGAAATGTAGTTTTTTACCATCAGGGCCTCATGAGCCTATACTGGTGTTTTTAAAAGTTATGTTTGCCTTTATGACTTTCTGTGTGGTTTCTGGGATGCTTAGGACTCATATTGCACTGCTGGAAATAGTTTATTTTGATGCATATGCTGCTTTTTTGCAAATTTGCATTATAATATTTATTTTCGTTTTTCCTGCAGTGTATAAAAATTGGTGTATTTCAAAAATAAAACTATGAAGACACTCAAAATAAATTTCCTGTGGTGGGAAACTATTTTGTGCAACTTTTTTGTATTTACAGTTTTGAGGGATAAGCCTCTTAAATTTCTCTAACTAGAAATATATGTTAAAAAAACAAAAACGATTTTCAATTTTTTTGTAGTTTATTGCACTTTTTTGCAATTTATGTAATCACTATGCACTTAATGCAGACATATTATTAAAATGTGGACTATAATGGTTGTATTGATGTATATCAACTTGAAATGCTCCCAAAAATGGCTCCACAGCATGTAAACATATAATATAAGCTCTGGCGGACTTGGTTCTATAAAGTAACAAAAACCAACTAGACTATTTATCAACACAATATGTTAAGATAAGAGGAACAGCACAATATATACAAGTCACCAGGTAATAAATATCAAGATTATTAGAGCAGAAAAGAGTGTAAACAGGGTGTAGCTACTGCAGTGTTCAGTGTGTTAGATGGAGGAGTTGTACGGGGAGCCACGGGCAGGAATGACTTCCTGTGTCGTTCAGTGGTGCATCATGGGTAATCTCAGTCTCTCACTGAGCGTGCTCGCTTGACTAGCCAGCACGTCATGCAGTGGGTGGGAGGTGTTGTCCATGATTTTCTTTATCTTGGACAACATCCGCCTCTCTGACACCATCCTAACAGAGTCCAGCTCCGCCCCCACAACCTTGTGATCAGTTTATCGAGTCTGTTGGCATCTGCGACCCTCAGCCTGCTCCCCCAGCATGCAACAGCGTCACTGACCACAACAGACTCGTAGAAAATCCTGAGCATTGTCCGGCAGATGTTGAAGGACCTCAGTCGCCTCAGAACATAGAGTCGACTCTGGCCCTTCCTGTAAAGTGCTGTGGTGTTTTAATGCAGTCCAGTTTATTGTCTCTGTGCACTCTGAGGTATTTATAGTCCCCCACAGTGTCCACACTGACCCCCTGGATTGAAACAGGGGTCAAATGTTTCCTTACTTGGTCTTTGCCACGTTGAGCTGCAGATGATTCTGCTCACACCACGTGACAAAAGAGTCGACCACAGCCCGGTGCTCTGTCCCACATCCCTGCTGATGCATCCAACCACCGCAGAGTCATCAGGAAACCTCTGAAGATGGAGGTCAATACTGTTGTTCTGGGTCTAAACAGAGCGCGTTGTGTGTGACGTCTTCTTTTGTGCATGCGGCCGCTTTGAGCGTTCACACTAGAGCGCGTTTGCTGTCACATTTTGATCGGATTTGATCAAAAAATCAGAATTGAGCATTAAGACCTGCAGAGTGAACGCAGCCTGAGAGTTTTGATATCTGGTGCTGATTAAGAATCCTGTTCTGTATGTCGACTTTGTCACTCTCCTGTTTGTGTGCAGACTGCAGGCGGAGGAGGAGGCTGTGGTGAAGCTGTGTCTGGAGACTCTGTCTCTGAGGAGCTTGTCTAAGGAGCCCAGCGTCAGCCCTGCCCAGATGATCCAATGCTGTGAGAGACTGTTGGAGCAGCGCTCCCCCCACATGCAAGGCCTCCAGATCTGTGTTTCTCACTTCTACTCTGTCATGCAAGATGGAGACCTGTGTGTCCCCTGGGACTGGAAGAGCTGACCTCCACATTTACACATTTTTGTCAGTCCATGTGTGACAACTACTTTTAGACATTGATGCTGTTCAGCAGAAAATAAGCACATGTACAGGACATCACACAGACGTTTTTCTGCAAATGCTTTCTCAAGGAAATGTTTAGAGAACTTTAAGAGCACAAGTGAAGGAAACCTGCACAGCCTGCAGTGTTCACCGGGCTGCTCTTCAAAGTGATGTGAGACAAACGTACGACTTGTAGTGTAGACGTGGCTTAAAGCAGAGTTTTCAAAGTTGTAACTATTTATTGCAATGAGTATGAAAAGTGATTTTTCACTTTGTAGAAATGTAAAGTCAGTTTCACAGGAGTCCAATAAAAACCTCTGTATGTGCTGCTGCCCTGCTTTTAAGGTGCTGCTAATCCAACACGTCAGTCATCAGCAAGTGTGAAAGAAAAACCTCTTCTCTGTTTAAAAAACCAAACGACAACAACAAAAACAACCAAATTTAGGTTTGTGAAATTGCATCTCGTCACACAGACACACAAACCTGCAGGACACCGGCCCTCCAGGCCTGGAGTTGGACACCCATGCCTCATACCAACTGTCAGCACAGTGATGGGCATCTGGTATTAGGTCACTCAGCAGGATGCTGATCCCAAGACAAGAGCTAAGGTGTTGCAGTGACTCAGAGAAAATGACTTGCTGATGAAGGTGGCTCTACAGGCTTGAATCATGGGGTGTGCAAACTTTTGTCTTTTGATTCAGTTAGTGGGGTTAGCTTATTTGGTGACTCCAAACTGCCCACAGGTCTGAATGTGAGTGTGATTGGTTGTGTCTCTGTGTTGGCCCCGGTCAGATTGACAGCCTGAGCAGGGCTGTGATAGGCTCCAGTCCACCTGCAACCTTGATAGGTGGAAGAGAATGGATGGATAACCCTGATTCACTATAATGAGATAAACGGAGTTCAGAACCTTCTGTGGTGTGTGGTGCAGACAGAGTACTAAGTGGAACTGGGCGGCTTCTTCAGTGGATGGAGCTGTTGGGGGACTGTTGGATGTTTGACTGGAGCCGCAGTGCTCTCATCATTCTAATTTATTCAAACAAAAAGATTTCACATTGGAATTTTAATTCTGACTCGTATTTGACAAAAAACGTTAGTTAACTCCTTAGAATTGGTGTTTCTTCATTGATTCCTCATAAAATTTGTCTTCTTGTCAAAATTACAAATAAATTCTGCTTCTGAACACAAACTCTTGAACTTTTCATGCCTTTATTGAACCCACTGAGCTGTACCTCATAGCACAGAACAAAATTAGGTAAATTCTTGAGTTTTGGAGCTTTGAAACTTTCCTTAGCAGCAATGTGACTATAAATGATCAACAATGATGAAGAGGAATTTGTGATGACATGGAGGTACCTCTGCAGGCAGGACAGGAATCTGAAAACCTCAGTTTTCTTCTTTGCGCCCCTCGACAGGTGGGTGGCATAGACACTGGGGCTGGGTATCGTCACTGGTTTCTAGAATCGATTCGATTCGATTTGAATCTGGGAAATTTTGACAGAAATATTATAATTCAGATCAGTACATTTACATCTTTTTGTATCTATAAAAAGGAAGCTGACACTTTCCAGACTTTATCAAAGGTGTGAGCGTCACAGCAGAGGCCTTTGTGTCAAAGCAGCTGAAGATAAACAGAAACACATGAAGGCGATTTTATAAAAATATTCTGCAGCACATCAAAAACAAAAGAAAACCATGAATCAACATATGAACATCACCTCTGAAGTTACAGCGGTTTTATTAGAGACACAGCTGAGCCTTTTTGCATTTTGTATAATTTTAAAAAGTTTAAATTTGTTCAGAAGCCTGTTGAACAGCAGAAATGAGGTTTTCTGTTTGAAAGTAAGTAAAAGGAAAAAACGTCGGCCGACAGCCTGTAAACAACGTAGACTTGTGCGTAACAAGCAAGAGAATAATGAAGAAAACAGATTTTTAGACGAGAGAGAGAGCTGTGCATCGTGGTCGAAGCAAAACAGTAAAAGTCAGAGTGAATTCATGACGATGTTTATGTGAAGCGTAGTTTGGATCTTCTTTTGCTGGTTCAGTCAATATTGTTTGGAGAGACATCAAACTAACAGCTTCAGAATCAGCGCAAAAAGGGCGTGAACACAAAGCTCGACCCACCGACACATCAGAGTCAGCGAGCTGTCTCACTGATCCTGATCCGTCGCCGGGTCCGTCTTTGTGCATTTACTGTTTTAGCTGTTTGGTGGTGGTTGAAATTTTGTGAGGTTTAACCTGAAAAAAATCGAGTCAGGATTTTAATGAATTGATATCACGTTATCCAAGCCAGAATTGATTTTAATCGATGAATCGATGATTAAAACCCACCACTAATAGACACCCATGATTGTGCATGTGATTACTCAAGAATGAGGTGACATAGGATTTTAAAATTCATATCATCAGTGCAGCTATTAAAAGTTTGAATTCTGTTGACCTCAAGGTCAGAGGTCAAGTTTTCAGAAAAATTTTCAAATGTATTCTGTAGAAGCATGTAACCATGAGGCTGAAGGGTGCTGGCAGCTGCCAGTGTGTTTTTCTTAACCACACTGTTGGTTGGCTTGCATGCTTTGGATCATTCAAAAATCAAACGTTTTCAGCTGTCCACAGATCTGAGGCTCAAAGGGAGAGAGTTCAGCAGTCTGGGGGCCACAGTTACAAAAGTCTCTGTCACGTTTCGTTTTCAGCCTCGTGTGATGGACGGGCTGATCACATGACCTCAGGGACCTGCTGGGGATGACCTCTGGTGTATGTCGGTGTCTGTCCATGCAGAGCTCTAAATGTCCAAGTCGTAAAGTGGAGCATGATCAATGAGGATTGTTTGTAGTTGTAACTTAGATGAAGATCAGACCACCTTTAATCAGAAATTCTGGTAATTCAAACGTCTGGTGACAAAGCTCTGGACTAAATATGCTCCAAGTAAGTGTAGTAATAATGCTGTAACTGTGAAACTGTTATTTTGGTGCTCTGTTCAATGCATGCTGTTAAGTTTAACTTCATACATAACATTCAATGATACTGTTTTAAGTCTCATTTGTTATTATTTTTATTTTATTATTTTTGTTGTTATTTTTATTATTGTTTCCGTCTCAGTTTGATCCTCCTGTGAGCCTCGCAGAGTGTTTGCACTGTGTAGATGCAGAAAGTAATCATTCAAACACAACCAGTGACAGGACTTGTATATATTATGTAAATTACAAACACCCACACAGAGCGGGAAACAATGTGAGAACTACAACAACAAATATCTAAACATCTATGCTCCTAAAAACAATGGGATTAAATGAATATATCTGAGGAAGAAAGATTATATTGTGTGACACGAGCATGTAAGCTGTGTGATGACAGAAAGTTGCACTACACTGGAGTGCACTGGGATTGGGAATGAGAAACAGCTGCAGTTTGACAACCTTAAAGCCAATCAGAGCAAATAATAATATAATAATAAAATAAGATCAGTGTAGCATCTCCTCACAGTTTCACTTTGAAAGCATCTTCATTGATGTTGCCAGCTGGAAGGCATCTCAAAGCTGCTTTGTAGGTGGCAGACAGTTTGTGATAAAGCCAACGGACTACCAAAGGTCCACAAAGCAGTAATTCCACTCAGACCCATCTCACCACCGTCCCAGCTCCCCCATGTGGGGAACACACCCCATCACATCAAAAACTCTACTGTCCTCACCAACAAGGTCCAAAAGCTTTCACTGAATAAAGATGAAACCACAGCGTCTCCCTTTTCACGTGTTTACCTACAACCATAGTCCGTGTAGGTGGAGACAGAAAACAACACAGAAACAGCTTCACCCCCGATCAGATTTGCACACTGTTAAACCTCTGACACATAGTTTAAATATGAGGGTCTCTATGGACACAAACATCAACCGACCTTTACATGGAAGAAGTGGAAAATAAAGCTCTTGGTCAAAATGAAAAGCACGAAGCATGAGCCTCACTGCGCACATCAAGTCAGTGCAGAAACACAAAGTTCACCAGGAAAGATACAAGATAATAGTTTGCAGTTTCTGGACGGTGCCGTGCACACTGAGGAAAACGGAAACCTCCACACTGAAGTTCACAGGAAGCCCACACACACAGTCCAGGACCTACTCTGTGACTCCCATCACTCTGTGGAATAATCAGGACGCTGCAACTACCAAACCTCACAGTGGAGAGGCTTGTGCATCACACTACACTTTTATGTTTCTTTCTTTAAATATAGGATATCATTTACAGGGTAATAAAGAATTAATTTATTTATACAGTCACACAATACTGTAAAGCAAGTGTGCACATGTTAGCTTACACTGCTATTTGTATGATTTAATCGTTTTCTGCGTTACGTCAGTGGCAGCTGCTCCAGTCCCTGGTTGATGAGCTAGGAGGTGGAAAAGGGGGCGGAGCAAGCCTATATGGAGACCTGCAAATTGGGTCATACCACTGCTCTGGATCATGGGGGGTAAATGGAATTTGTTATGTTAGTTTCAGTTAGGTTTTTGTGTGTTCTACCTCTTTTTGTGTCTTTGTAGGCTGATCAGACATTATTTAAGTCTCCTTCAGAAGGTCAGTTTGTTTGTGTTAGTATTGTTTGTTGCTTTTGAGTCGAGTTCTGTTACTTTGACCTCTTTTATGGACCTGAGATTTAGATTCATGTATAATTTAACCAAAGTTTGGGTTTTTTGCGTTAAATAAAAAACCTTTTTTTGGACTAACCTGTGGCAGACTTTCCTTTACTGCTCAGTCCATCAGGAATACAATCAATTCAGTGTTGAACATATTATATTTACTTTATTACCTAAGTGTGATAGACTCTAGTCTCCAGAAGTACATTAGCTCGCTGTTACTAGCTAATTTCAGAATGACTGTTGGGTCCGGAGATGCAGCCACACAATCCTGTTCTTACAGTTCTGTGGTCTCTCAGCATCAGACACCAATGATCTCAGTGAAAGTAAAAGAAAAAGATTTTCACCTTCATTTCTGTCAAATGAGGAATAAAATATAAATAGTAATTTCTCCTGTTTTGGCTTCCTGTTAAATCCAGAATTCAAAATCCTGCTCCTCACATACAAGGTCTTAAATAATCAGGCCCCATCTTATCTTAATGACCTTGTAGTACCATATCACCCTAGTTATGACAGACACTATCTCTACTTTTAAGATTAGGCTTCAAACTTTCCTTTTTGCTAAAGCATATAGTTAGGGCTGGACCAGGTGACCCTGAATCCTCCCTTAGTTATGCTGCAATAGACGTAGGCTGCCGGGGGATTCCCATGATGCACTGGGTGTTTCTTCTTAGACCTCTCTGCGTCTCATGCAGTACTGTGTACATGTTC